AATGCCAAACCCAGAATGCTACCAGTGGCGTATATGCTTATATGGTACATGCATATACACGCATGCAGGCATACTCACGCTAATAAATGTACAGTGTGCTCAGTTATATGAAAATCAAATCCAACTCTATTATTCTTGGTGTAAGTAATACCAATGACCTTCATTTTCACTGCTGCAGAGCAACCTAGGTGTGTGTAACTGCTCTCCCGCTCCTGTACTGATCTCAGCTGTAGAAACTACGTCCAGATTTTCACAGGAAGTAAAATAAGGGTTTTAAGTTTCTCCCTGCAGTAAGTAGATTCTGTTCCCTGAACTCCTTATGCAGTAGAACCGAGAAAACTCAGCACCTCGGCAAATGAATGATTTTTGCTTTTCAGTGCACTTTCATGGTCAATTGTCACCTTAGTTTTGCTTGCCTTCTTTTACAGATTTCAAATAAACATCAAACAATACCTGTGCCAGCTTGGTTCAGCACAGGCTCAGTTAAGTACAGTGAGCGCTGCCAGGATCTAAGCAAACCAAATCTAACAACTTCAGAAGAGACTAAGCAGCAGTAACCATCTTGAGTCTCTAATGCTTATTCGTATGCATTAATCCAAACTGCTCTCAGATTTTAGCTGTAATACACAGCACGCAGCAGACAGTGAGGCTGTAAACTGGGAACATGGGGGTTTGTATAAGGACCTTGGAAACTCGGCAGTGTGCCTGTGGAAAGGCTGCAGTGTGCTTTATCCAGTGAGTACCGGAGGTGATTGGCCTTCCATACACAGGGGAATGCAAATCTATCAGGGCAGGGTTTTCAGAAGCTGTAAGTATCCCTGGGGAGCCCTCGCTGCTCAGCAACAATGAAAACCATTCCCATCAGTATTATTTATATTGTGTAATAATAGCATATTACTTATATATGGACTCAATATCTCCGTGATGGATAGGTTATTAAAATGCCAATGGATGGGTCAGAAATGCATCAATATTTTAGCAGCACTGGTTATCAACCCAAGGCTATGCTGAGTCGTATATTTTATCATGCTTGGAAAAGCTTGGAGAAAGCTACAATAACTGTCTGAAATGACTGAAGGGATATTTGGTAGCAAATTCAAAGCCTGTAGTGAATAGTATTTTCTTTAAAAACAAATAGTCAAGATTGAGTCACAAAAGAAAAAGAAAATGATGAAAAGAGATTCAGGCAAATTCAAAAGAGAGATCTGTATCAAAGAAATTAATGGGAGTGACAGGCTGCAAGTTTCAGCTTAAGATAAAGACCTGCATGTGCAGCAGGAATGTAAATATATATCAGGAGAGTTGCTTAATTGTGGTTTGGAGGAGCAGAGGGGTGGAACTGGCGTCAAGTGTTCTCGGCCTGGGACACACTGGTTCTGCACTGCGCAGAACTCAGCAGAGCTTTCAAGCAATCTCCTGGATCTACTGGAGCTTCCAGATTAGTCTAAAGCAATGGCAGAACAAGAGAAAATGACCTGCTCAGATGAGCTGAATGGTCATAAACTGGAAATTAAATCATGTCAGTCATGACAGTGAAAGAAGAATAAGAGCTAGGGAATAACATGATGCTGAGGGATGTGAGGGAAAGGCCCCACTGCAAAGGACATCTGTTTGACTTCTTGGCATTATTTAATGGACATCACACTGCTAACAGACTGCAGATGAACTCCACAAGAGCAAGTGCAAACCACGCTGCTGTGCATCTGTTATAATGCTGAGACCTTTTCAATGATATTTGTAGTGATATTTGAACAGGTAAACATGCCCTTAAGTCTGCAAGTAGGAAAAAGCCAACAGAGAGTTATGAGATGGAATGGGAAAGACAATGATGGCACAGTCAGAGTACAGTACAGTGGATAATAATGGGGCTCTAAGAGAAATAGTACTTTCCCTGCTCCGGAAAATATGTATGCATGCGTTTAACCTTACCACCATGGGTAACTGCACTGATGGGGAACTTGGTGCTTCAGTGGATGTAGAACCCAGATGCCTATGAATATGCTTATACAAGTCCTTAAAAAATGAATCCAGGACTTCCTCCTACCCAAAGCTTTTGTGCTGTTACTACAGACTGAACAATAACACGAACACTTCCTCATACCGAATAAATGACATTATTCAACCCGTATAGTTGGAACTAATAAAATACTTCATTTTCTAACTCTTTTTTTTTTTTTACAGTGTATTTGAATGTATTTTTATATAATAAAAATCACAATTTTTCAGTATCTGAAAGTACTGTACAAAAAAATCAACTGGAAACTACACAAAATTATCACTCTGCCTAACTCCTGAAATTCAGCTTTACTGCAGCTTTGTTCTCTGGTTGTAACTTCCACTTAACGAACTTGAAGCACAGAACACTTTCCAAGGACTGAGATATAAATGTTTGATTTAAACACAACTGGAATGAATAAGACCTTTGGTAGATGAGAATACCATGATTTAAAATATACAATGACACTAAATTAGGTCTACAGCATGATCTCTTGGGCTACGTGTCACTGACTGTGATCACATCATAACGGCTTAGGAAGTTACTACCTATCAGCTGAGTTTCTGTAACTCAACTGAGTGCATGCTCTTAACTCACCACAACTGCAGGCAAAAATCTTAATAGGTTCCATCTTTATAAACCTAATCCAGTTACACATCTTGACGGAGGGTAACTCATTATGCCACAGTAATATTCTCATAGCCTAAGGCACAACCTCCCAGCAAACAGGACTTAACAGGTAATGTCATGTCTCCTTCCTAATTTCTGTTTTCACTGTTGTGTATGTATACAAACCCCGAGACATCAGGAATCAGCTTCTGATTTTATATTAATCTAACACCGGTACAACTCCAATGACTTTGGGGAATTTTTCTAATTTATGCTTATGCCAAATCAGGTCCTATGAACTTCATATACAAAAAGAAGTGGTTTTAATATGTAGATATAATTTTCTTATATAAAATTGATTGTAAAGGAAACTTAATTACATTTAGCCCATCTGTAGTAGCTGGATTAATTAAATATTTCTCTGCACTTATCTCTAATTGTAACGTCAACAGAGCTGTCCTAGTACATGTTATGTCGCCATTAAAAAGGAAAAAGAAAATTACTTTTAAAACCTGCAGTGAAATGATGTTAAGTGTCTGCCTTAAACTGACAAATTCAAGGAGATTTAGAGTTAACACTGCCAACTCTTTCAATAACTCACCATTATTGCAGAATAAAAAGTACCCCAAATCACAATACAGGGCAGTTTATACAGAGCCAGTTCATGGAGTGTTATCAGAAAGTGCTTTGCATTACAGGCTAAACAGGGTTTTTGTGGACAGATTTAAAGAGTGCAGGCAAGAAAGTCAGTGGCTCGGACAGCAGGGGGGAGCCCCAGGCAGATGGGAAAGCATCTGTGGGGCAGTGATGCTAGCTGTGGGACCTTGTGTGAGAGGGATGCACACCAGTGCAGAGAAGCAGAGACTGGCAGAGGGGCGGTTGTTAGGCTTGTAAATAAGGTGGAAAAGGAAGGATGAGAGAGGAATAAGGTGATTTTGAATGGGGTTCAGAAATGATGAAGCCTTTGCCAAAGGGACAGCATGGTCTTAGAGCCCACAGGATGCAAAATCAGAAGGTCTCAAAATATATCTGTAAATGAGGAATCATCACTGAGTCAGAATGTTTCTACTGAGGTGACCTCAGTTCTTGGCCCTAAATCAATCTTAATTTATCAATGACCTAGATGAAAACAGACAATTACTATACTAAGGTATACTACACTACAGTGGGGGATGAGATCTCTCCCAAGATACTGAGATGGTCTTTAAAAGTGTGACACAATCAGATAATACATGTATTTCAATATATCTCAGTGTACAACCCAAGGAAAAAAAAGTAACTGTGCTTGGGACAGATGCATTCACACTCTGAATGAGAAAGCTGCACAGCTCCGAATATGGGGGCAAGCACACCGTAAAGGATGGTATTAAGTAAAGGAGAGGAAAGCAATAGTCCTGCTTGACTGTCCCGTAAATAAGTATTCCTGAAACAGACAGGAAAAATAATCAACTCTGAGAACAATCAGCGAGGACTGTTGTGGCTTTTCTCCTACTGGTAAGCTTGAAACAGAGTCAGGATGTTTTTCCTGACAAAAAATGCACTATCTCATATACAATGAAGTACTGGAAAAGAGGTGGAGCTTAATTTAGGAGAGAACTATGTTTTTTACAGCAAACCTACAAATTACTTCTGCGTACTTCTAAACTAGTTTACTTGATAATCATTCAAATGCAGGTCCAGATAATTGCAAGAATTGTGCTGCGTCTCAAGTTTAGAATGAGATTAATGTTAAAAAAATCATCTCTAAGTACATGCTTTATGCATGCAAATGTATTCATTTAATATTAACATAAGACTAAACTCTGGATGCATTTTGACAGGGAGAGAGTTTTTTTTTTCATTTGGGTATCCATTGGCTGTCTTTTCTGAAGTAGACAATAGTTATGAGGTAGAGTGGAAAGGAAGAAATTACCATTTTTTTATTTGAAAGATTAAAAATCAAGTACTGGGATGATGGGTATGGCTCATACATAATTTCTGCCTTCACAGAATCACAGTATGGTTGAGGCTGGAAAGAACCACCAGAGGTCATCTAGTCCAGCCTCCTTAGACCACATTGCTCAGGATTATGTGTCCATATGGCTCTTGAATATCTCCAGGGAAGACAACTCCACAGCCTCTCTGGGCAACCTATTCCAATATTCAGTCATCCTCACAGTTAAGAAGTTCTTCTGCAAGTTCAGATGGAACTTCCTGTGGTTTAGTTTATGCCCATTGCCTTGAATAACATCTATCACAGGGGTCTGTTTCCTCACTGCACTGCTTCAGATGAAGTCAGTGTTAAAACTGTCTTGAGCAGACAAACACTGACATTTAGTTACAAAAAGGAAGACGCACACCAAAACTATAGATTCAAATGACAGTCAAGGATGTGACAGAGAGACATGAATCATACCTCCATCATTGTCCAGGTTATCTCCACACACCATTTCCATGACAACGTTACATCCTGAGCCACTCCAGCCTACTTGACAAACGCAGTGCCATCCATTCTGATCAAGAGTGCACCTCCCATTTCCGTAACAGAGACCTGGGCAGCCATCTAGAACAGAAAATGTAAAAAAGAAGCCTTCATGGAGTAGTTTTCTTCTTATACAGTTTCAATTGTTCTTTAACATTCTTTCACCTAGTATCATACTTGCTGCCTTCAAATGACCACAGTTCCCTTGCAAGCCATTTATATTTTCAGTCAAATATGGACTATCCTAGTCCCTCCCTCTGCTTGCCCAGAAACCATTTCTCAGTGATGAACAAAGGTTTTTTAGTATGTAACACTTTATGTGTAGGAAAAAAGTGAGCAAACATATAAGAAAATATTTAACAGTCTGCAATGTGCATTTCTTTCTTATTGAAAAATAAGTTGTAGATCACAAAGGAAGATACATATATAATAAATGTTTACATAAAAGTTATACATGGAAAATATTATATGAATAACAAACTGGCATGCAGACAGAATCCTACACATTGCACGAAGTGGAGGTGACCTTTTTATTCTGTTCATAAATATCCAGCTGACTGAGAAAGAGCCAATTTCATTTATGCTACAGTACAACTCTTTCCACAGAAGGCAAATGAAGGAGCATTTCCTTTCAATGTCCAGTTCCACTTCATTTACATTATAGCCGATTCAAACACGACAAACACTTGCCCTTTAGTGGCTCTGATTCTAGATCAAAACCAGAACAATGAATGTAGCATCCCCTGGATTATATACTTGTAAACTAAGAATCAATAGTAATTTGGACAGTCTCAGCTAGATCGCTTGCCTAAAAGAGTCAGAGAGGAACTGTCTCTTGGATGTGCACACTCATGTCCATCTGCTTGCATAGTTTAGTGCCAGCTCAGACATTTGTCATATCCTCACCATGTCACACATGGAGCCAAAGGACAATGCACAAAGCTCAGCAATAAACTTAACAGAACACGTGGCCTCCCTTCCAAGAAGGCTCCTTTCTTTTTGCCTAGATGGACATACAGAAACTGAAAGCCCTTCTGTACTTGATAGTGAATATCAACACTTGGGTGTCATCAGAGAGAAATTTTTTATTTTAGGAAATAAAAAAGAGGACTAAGTTTGCATATGTGTTTGGCAGCCCCAAGATGCTCCAAAAGGACTTTGGAAGAACCAACCAGAGAGTCTGATCTGTCAGGCTGCGATTTACAGCCCACACACAGCACATTTCCAGGCAACCTTACACTAGACACATCATCTCTCTCCTTCTCACCCTCGGCAGACAATCACATCTGAAAACAGGATTGGAGAGCCTGACCCTCTTGCTTGGAAGAGCTGGAGATGGGTGGCACTCACACTGAAATTCTGGAAGTTGCTACTCTAAAATAGCACGAGGTTGGCAACCACCAGATACATCATAAAAGCCAATTATTTGCCTCTTTTGGGGAGCTGGGAGAAAGGGCAGGATGTGAGAGCTGTGCTGGGAAACAGAGATGTTTTTCCACTTCAGTTCATTGTCCTGCTGAGTTAATTCATTTCTTGTATAAGACTAGATTTTGCTGCTGTGTGTGGTTACCCTCTACGACTGTAATTGTAATCAAATAAATTCTTACATGATTGTATTCTCTAATTCTGAAGAAATAAAGTAATAAATGCAAAATAAACACCCTGGTCTTTCTGGAACAGTGGTTACTTTGATATTTCAGCTAGCGGCATTTTTTCAGAGGGTAGTGTGCACATTTGCTCTGCAGAGCATGGCCATGGCTGCGGGACTGCTGTCAGACTCAGTGAGGGTACTTGCACTACCATGAATAAGCAGGACCTGTGGCAAGGCATGTAAACCAAATGAGCAGCACCAGACATAAGCCAACATCAAATTTAACTCTTGTATCAAACGATTTGAAGAGAACTATATCACATCTAGCATAGATAACTTTCCAATAAACCTCCTTCTCTGTCAAAAGAAACTTACTTCAAGCACAAATGACAAAAAACAAACCAAACCAAACTTTTTGTTCTCATGTATGACAGGATCAACACAAAGTTTTCTGAGCAAGTCCTCAGCTCTGTCATTACTCTGGAAAGGCAAGCAAGAGCAAAAATCTGATTTGCCCGACAGAGCACATCAGATGACCGCACTAAACATGCTTACATTGCTATAACTTTGCAAATGAGCTGAGCACATTATTTGTTAAAAACTGCATTTTCTTCTGTAAATCCTCTCTGTGTGTATATCTATGTATCTCCATAAACAATTTATCTATTCTGGCAACTTTGCAGTAGAGCAGCTCAGACATAGCAAGTAACAAAAACCACTTCATTCCCAATACTTTTGTATCTTTTCATTATTGTTTCACAAAGCTGATATGAAAAACTTACCTAGGTCAGCATCTAAGTAGTGAGCTTAAAAAAGAAAAGAACAAAACTGAGATGGATTGAACTTCTTTACCCAAATATGGACACCATTTGATTATGGCTTGCCACCTGTTAGTTAGCTATAACATGTCACCCTCTTACTGCAGTTGGATCTATTCCTGCTACTGTGATCAAAACACTGTGGATGTGATTGTTCTTCATCTGATGACAAGCATGCAGAGGACAGCTTGGGTCCTACCTGGCAGTGAAGAGCAGCTCTGTTTATCTTTTTAATTATTTTGGTCCTTTTCTGGATTTGCTCTACACAACCTTTAGAAAATTAGACTGCTCCTCCTTTACAAACCTAATTCTTGATATAGTAAATCTGATTTAGCAAATTCTAGAGCCAGTGAATGAATGAAGCAGGAAGCAAGCATGAGAGCTTATGCTGCTTATCTCTAAAAATTAAATACCCTGCTATTACAAACAATTAAAACATTTATGAAAAATGTTGCTTTGGGGCATATTAGGGAGAAACACTATTAGACTTTGCAAAAAACTGTTGTATTTCATTAAAAATGTAACTATTACAATTGTATAGTAATGGTTACTAAAGACCTGAAAGCCTTACCTTATTAGGAATATTGTTAGAAGCCAACTATAGGAAAACTACCTCTAGTAATAAGTAAAATATGTAAATCCCCAGACATGAAAGCAAGAGATTCCATGCAAGAATTACTTAAGCTGAATAACAGCTACATCCCCTCACACCTTTTATTTGTTGAACATTCTTTCCTTCCTGACTCAAAGTTCACATACGAACACAAGCCAAAGATAGGTTTGGACCAAGATATCTTTCTTCTGTGTGTTTTTAAATAATAATTCATCACTGTTATTTCCTCTAAAGAGAAAGCTGCACTGAGCTGTTATTCTGTGGGACAAGCAGGGTGCACTATCATTGCCAAGGCACCTTTTTACACCTGGCCTTACTATGGGTCTTTGGTTTCCCAAAATGTCTTCAAACAGACAGATGGTTATGGCAGTTCTTTGTATAAATGGTTAAGATTTATGCATTTTATTTTTCAAGGTACAAAATCCCCTTACCAATGGTGCAGTGGTCCCCTTCCCATCCAGGGCTGCACTCGCACTTCCCATCCTGGCACTGGCCGTGTTCTGCACAGTGAGAGTGGCAGGTACGTTCTTCACAGGTTGGTCCAACCCAGCCCTCTTCACACTGGCATATCCCTCTTGAACAGACACCGTGGGTGCCACAGTCCAGGGTACACAGCTCTGCACAGGATTACAGAAAGACATTACATGAAACAGCAGTTTCATACTATAAATAGACTTTGCACTGATAACCAAATTTAATCACTTCTATACTAATATTACTCATCAATGGGAACAAATATGGGATTTCATCACCCAGTACAGACCTCACACGATCTCTCTGCCTCCTTTGGCGGTTATTTGCAAGATCATTTATTTGTTTGGGGTGGGGGCTGCAAATGATGGCTTTGGATATGGTAGGGCAATGGGTCTGAAGCAGACAAATAATGACATGAAAAAGTCCAGATCTTTTGACTGACTTCAGCTGAGGCTTTTAACCCCCAACATGCCAAGTCTATTCCTAGGTCCCACCACCTCAGTTCTGAAGTCTATCATAAACTCAAATATTGCAAGTGTGCTGAAACAAAGAATGAAGTGGCACATTAAATATACACAAGAAAACGTCTCTGAAGTATTCAGATGTTTGTAGTGATTACAAAATAGCCTTCACTTAACAGTAAGAAGAGCCACCAGAAAGGTAACAGGGAGAAAGCAGAAGAGCAGCACCTCGTTCTGATGGCAATACGCAATACTACACAGCTGAGAGGCCATACAGATCCACCTTGTTCTAAAATGGCCTTCAAACATTAAATTTTTTTTTCCATCCTGACTTTCATGAGTCAACTGCTAAGAAAACAGAAGAGCTGCTTTGGGAAGACAGGAGTACCTCCTTCATGGCACTCAGAAGCATTTCTCTACCTGGGCATTGTAGAACACCACTTACTGTAAAGTGGAATGAAAATCCTGAATTATTTCAATACATCACAATATGCCAATTGCAATCTACTTCCACTTAGACTAAAGTTGTTCTGTGAAAAGAATGGCTTCATTATAAAAAGGTTCCATGTAGTTTGGATTTATTTAGAATAATTAGTGTCAAGAGACAGAATTTGCTTGTTGTTCTGCAATTAACCTGCCACAGAAATGTTTCGTCCTTCTTCCTCTCGGAAAGCAGCTGATAGAACTACAAGTGTAAGCCAAATAATCATGCCTGCTCTGATTTCAAATGTCACTGTTACATATTTAGTTGTGGCAAGATTTTTCCCTTGACAGATTTTAAACAATGATCATTTATATCCTGGAAGTATTGTATATAAACATTCTTCAAAGCATTTGTAGTGACAAATCCTGTCACTGTATAGACCAAGAAAAGTTTCTAAAGTTTAAATTGAAATCTTATCAATTCCAATCATTTTACCACAAGGAAAAAGCAGCACAGAAACAGACACCGCAGATGTGCTGGGCTCTGTCTTGAGTTAAAGTCTTGCCCTTATTTTTGTTAACAGCCAGGGTGATGGCAGAGTGTAATCGAAAGAATCAGTGGGTGACAAACTGGAAGAGCATGGTCAAACTCAAAATTACCTTCAGAAGCAGAAGGCATGGTAAAGAACGCAATATAAAATTCCATAAAAGTAACTGTGAAGTACTGTCCTGAGGAAGTCAAAAAAAGCTATATAAAAAATAATTTTACTATGCAGACTGTGGCGTGTTTTATACTGGAGTACAAGCTAAACACAGTTATTGGATGATATTCCTGCAAGAGAGTCTGTAAGACAAGGAAAGAGAATGCTCTGCTGTATTCAAATGAAAACCTGTGCTGAGCCTAGGGCATTATCCCCCAAGAAAGACTTGATTGCTGCCTACTAATCATTTATTAATCTAATGCTTCATGCCTTGGACTGCCTGCCTGCAGGTACTAGGAAGGATTTTTTCCCCCTTGCTGCATAATTTGGCTTGGCTTTTTTGTTTTGTTACTTGATTGTTCCTTGGAAACCTGGGAGACCCCCCCAGAGGACTACATGGGGGACTTGCTCTGTCATTTTAATGGTACTGAAGTGGCCCAAATACTTGCTCCTACGATCAGGATGTAAATCCCACCAGATCTGGGACCACAAAAGAACCACCCCCAGGCTAGACTGGCGAAGGACTACTGGCATTATTTTAACCTATCTTTATAGCTTGGCACATGGACTAACTCCTGAGAATTAAATCTAACAAATTACCCGCTACTTCAAGGATTTAGGCTGCTAGAAGGATGCCTTTGATCTCTCCTGATCTCCCTCCAGTTCATTATAATTACTTCTTTTGGTATTTTAATGTAAGTGGCAAAGATTGTTAAAGGGATTTTAAGAAATATTCTGTAGTTTACACTAAACTGGGGTAAATTGAGGAGATGTTTTTTTTTGACTCTTCTGGATTGAGCGTCTGCACATAGTTGTTTTGCAGTTGTGCGACTAGCTTAGTTCAACTGACGCCAAAACTTCAGGGAATACTATGAGCATCAGTACGCAGAAGTGACAATGTAGGCTGGAATGACTGAAGTGGGGAAACAGCAACGCACAGAGCTTCCGATCGTATCAGCAGCTCCCACCACTTCCCCATCTGCAAATCAATCAAAGAAACAGCTGTGAAAAATCTCAAGCACATTCCCACACGTGGCATGCATGCCTGCCTCACCTCTGCGAGCAGTCTGATCACAACAAACTCATCTTCCAAACAAGCAAAAGAAACAGCACAGAGCCAAAGGCAATGTAGGCACATCCCTTCCACAGGGACATGGATCTTGCACATACTCCTATTTACAACCCCAACATCAAACAGATCTTGAAATGTTTGAAAGTATCGCATTGTTTTCCCCATGTTTCACACAAGGAATAAAATATTTAAATGCTATTTAAGCTCCTAAATCCAATCAGATTAACAAAACAGAAATATAAGATTTCCTACCATAAAAACCATATCCTAGGCCAGTCAGTATACAGTCTTCCCACAAGGCTCCTTTTTTAAAATTCTATACTCCCACATAAGATCATACATAGCCAAACGATTTTTCCTTCATTTTTGTCTACTGAAATACAGTGGCTTCCTCTATCCCAACCACACTGTCTTGGAAAGACAACACAGCAGGACAAGTTCCGGATCACAAACTGGCTCTATGTGGTAGGAAACACTAGGTTAGTTGTCCTGTACCCAGGTATTCAGTTTTCACACCTTGTTTCTGCCAGCAAGTCAGGGCTCAGTAACCGGATACTGGTAAATGAGTAAAAAGCATCACAAAAAAAACTGCGTCAAACCTGTTCCAGCAAAGGAATGCTGAACGATCTTACCTAGCTTTTGCCTTTCCTTCTAGTAATGCATTTTTTTCCCCCACATTTAATCTCAATCTTCTTTGAACAAAATCAGATCAAATTCTGTAAGCACCTGATGCAGTGAAACCTGTTTTCTTAGTTTGGACCAGACACCTTCCTCAGTCAGGCTAGTTGACCTGCTCCTCAGTACTTCATGGTCACTGAGAGCAAACTTGAGACTTACATTTGTTTGGGTGATTTAATATGAGGCTTCAGAAATGCCGTTTACCATGATAATGTATTCTTCTGCCATGCAAATCCAAGATTCTCCCCAGACTTCTCACACAAAGCAAGGGAAATCATGCCTAACGTCATCCTATTAATGCTGTGGCAGAACCTGCAGCTTTAATCCACAGCTAATTCAAACAAATTAGATTTAAAAAAGCCTTATCAGTTCAGGTTGTCCTCTTTTTAAAAGCAAACTAACTTCTTAGCTCCTCCTGAAGATAAACAAATGCAGAAATATCAGCATAGCAGGGAGTCACATTAGCATTTGTATTTGTATTGAGAGGCTGGGTTTTCATGGCAGACTAGAAAAGATGAGATACTCCACTGAATGGACAGTGACTGAATGCAATGGGAAACAATACAGTAACTTGAAATAGGTAGAGAGTTTCAAACAAAGCTGATGTGGTAAAAATTCAGACAGCGCTGAAGTCAGACACCGAGCCAGACATCATGCAACTGTTCTGCTCAATGCAGCATCTGCCTCCTTCCATAGGTGATGGTCCTACGTGATTCAGAAGCACACCAAAATGCACACACAACGGGCCAGCACAATGCAGCAAGGGCTTTGAGCTTTGAAGCAGTTGATACATCCAAAGACTTCTGTTCCTTCTGACTGAAACAGTTATAATTCCACTCCCCCTCCTTTCCATCCACCTCCTGTCTCTCTGGTCCCTGCCTGGAGCTTATCCCCTGAAACTGGTGAGCTCATTCAGATCATGAAAATGGCAGATAATTATTCCCTTTATTTTTCTGGGTTAATACCTGACAGCTTGCTGAGCTAAATCAGCCCATCGAGGGATCAAAGCAGTAATGCAGGCAGGGCAAGGGAGGAGAGGCAAATCACAGCCTGGATGGGGACTGTCCTGCTGAGGAGCTACAAGCTGTGCTGGTGTCTGACTGCAAAGGACAAGAGCAAGGAGGAGGTGACAGGAGGTACGGTTCGGAATAGCTGACTTGGGGATATTACATCACAAGCCTTTATCTGTGCTGTTACATTAACTGCCAATCATTCTCACAATGTCCAGTGCACCTCACACACTTCGTCAACAATGTTGGTGTTTAGGGTTGTAGCCTTACATAAAACCAACCTCTTCACTCCCACTGCTCTTTGTTTATTGGCATATCCACCCACCCAACTTGCCTGCCTGAGCTCTAGGCAGATCTTGGGGAGGAGCACAGTGGGTTGAAGGCTGGTCTACAGCAAAGAGACCAGATCTTCACATTGTGTGTATGGTGTGAATGTGTGTGAATGGTGTGAATTTTCATGGCTCCCACAAAAACAACAGAGCCACCCTAATTCACAGTAATTCATGGCTCTGTTTCAGTTTTTGTACCTGCACCCTCTGCAATCAAAACAAGGTTCTCTAAGTGTAGGGCTGCAAAGTTAATTTCCTTATCTAAAAAAAGCTCCGCAGTGCAGACCTGCTGCGAAGAATGTGCTGGCACATTGCTGGGAGATGGCCTCAACCAGCCCCTGCAGTTTCTTAAAGACTTTAATGAAATACAATCTTTATCAAATCTAAAATTCAGAGTCCTTAGACTTAAACCAATTAATAAATAAGAGACTTAAAAAATGTTCAACTCAATCTAGAATTTTGACTGACA